TTAATATTGAATTTCTTAAATTAGTTTTTATTCTTTTCAGATACGAGAGTATCTGCGCGATTGGAAACTGCTGAAAATCCCAGAATCATTATTGCTCGTTTCTAACGTGGCGGCGAAAACTTTCCTCGTAACACACTGCAATCAGCGGGCCGCGACAGCGTGGCCGGACACGCGCGATACCCGACAATGTGAAATAAGTAATCGTTATTACCGGGGTCGCTGCGCGGAAAAAAGGGAACGGACGGGGGTGGAAAAAGTTTTAATCACGTCGTGACGACAGGTCGTAATTAACGGAAAGGGGAAAGAGAACGCTCAAATACCAGAGGGATTGGCAGGAAATGGGTAATACGGTGAATTATGATTAAAATGGGTTACGGAATATTTATATAATATATGTGTATATATTAAGTTTCGTTATAGGTGTTAGGGTTTCCAATATAATATTATCTAGAACGATTTACTATAAAATTTAGATTCAAATAAAATGTTTTTAACATCTAGTAGTTAATAATTTTCGACTTAAGCGAATATTTCTTTCGCTAATTTTCTACCTAGAGAGATACGAATTTCATCTTGGTAAATAATTAATCGACGAATAAAAACTACAGAACTGCTTTCAATGGAGAATAAATCCCAGAATTTTACGAAAAGGCAGCGGAAAGCAAGGGTGTTTGTTTAAATAACAAAATAAAGTATGTTTCTCTGTTCACTCGATAGAAAGAAAATCACCGCAGGATCGTTGGGCAGCTCCTGAACGAGGTTAATACTTTCCGTTCTTCGCGATACGCGCCTCGGCGTTAAAACAGTCGATAGATTTAATGATCGATAGCTATCTATATCACGAGTTAATAATAGTCCGCGTAGTGAAAACTCACCTCCCGCAGCTCTCAAACTCCACTCGAGTCGACGACGATAACGGTAACGATTACGGTAACGATAACGTACACCGAGATAAATTCCAGGGTGGTTTTGCGCGCATACATCGGCGGCGGAAACGCGCCTTTAAAGAGAGACCGTAGATAGGATATCTGCGATCGTGGTCTCTTAAAGTCTGACTTATCGCCGCGAGAAGAAATGTGTAGCCGAAGGAGTTCTTTACGTGTCCACGTCGGCGTCCCGCGAAGCCAGGCAGCAATCAGTTGATGACCGATGTACAACGAAATAAGACATGCCCGATGTATCTACGTGTCCGAGTTCATATTTTGTAAATTTCGTGATATTGAAGATTTAGGAAGAAAAGCGCGCGCGCTATCAGGCACGGGAATTGTGCTACATATTGTAAAAGACTGAACACGCGAAGGAGACCTTTTTATAATTTTTTTATAATATCTCCTGATATTTAATCCTATCGCTGGTTATTAAACCTACAATATTGAACATACTATCGAAGTTTTCGATATTGAAAATGTAATTCCTAGCGTGTTTTGCATTTCAGTGAACAACACTGGCGAATAATGTTACGTCAAAATAATGAAATAGTAATCGAAATAATAATTGTGCTTTTAAAATTCACCTGTTATTGTTAACCAAATTAAATCGTGTTGATTGATGTTTGGCAGCTTAAAACGCGATATAGTTCGCGTTTGACGCGGAAACCGTGAAACAAATTGGAAAAATAATGAAAAGGCACGAAGCACATCATTTGATTAATGTGTCGGACGGCAAGACATTTTTAATTATGTCACATTATTTAGGGATGTCATTTAATTATAATTGCCGTTTAATTATATCTTTTTCAGTTATATCTAAACGAAAGAAAATTTACCGTATGTACTGACAAGTAGACTAAAAATATTGTAAATTGAGACCGGCACTTTTTGATTTTGTTATTCTTGATTTTGTTTCGTTAACTGGTTTCGCGATAAATTTATCGGATATTTTCGTTTAGTGACCGCTGGGTTAAGCATGCTATCTGGACCATGTCATCGTATCGCGGACGCGAAGGTAGAGTTTCCACTTGCAAATTGTACGTCACGCAATTCGTCGACGGCAGAAACTCACCGGCAACGAGAATCTGGTAAATTTAGTTGCGATTGTGGAAAACGAGAGTTGTAGGACAAAGGAACTTCGTGCTTGCAGGCAGTAATTAACTGTTGTATCGCAAAGCACAGAGACTATTTAGCGCGTCCGCTGTTAACAGATCGGTAAATTTCAAGTTACATTTTTCGACCGCGCATATTGTAATCAGGGGAAATGTAATCCTTTCGCGGATCTTTTTATAAATCGAGTCTCGTGACGAGTCTTTTTGTTTTTAAAGTTTGCACGAAGTAGCCCATTGATCTGTTACAAATTGTATCCGATTATCGATCACTATTGGATATTACAATTTATTGAATGTATATTTATAGAATATTGCAACTTATATATCTCCGTATTTATTTTTCCTCGTTTTCGCTTTATGGGTGGATGTGAAAATCGATGCCCTTCTCTCAATCTATCTTTCTTTCTATTCTTCTCAAGTGCGCCACGAATACGGAAGTATCCCGCACGTGTTTGTACATGGTAATGCATTCCACCCGTTCTAAACGCAAACAGTCTCCTTATCTCGGCGCTGCCATTCGTGAATTAAGTATCGCGCAGTAGAATAAAGTGCACTCAAATACAAAATTAATTGCTAAAGTTTCTGCGCCGCGCTTACGAGCGCGCCTTTTTGTGCTTCGTATGTACCGAGTCTCGCCGTTACCCTGCAGTTGGTGTTCTTGACAAATTACTTGATGAATGTAAAATCAATCTTTCTTCAGTGAAAATTCCGCGGAATGGTCTAATTGTCGTCGTAACATTGAAACCTGAAGGGTTCCGTCGAGATTGGTTTTGATATGAATTCAAATTTAATATTATTATCCACCATTATACAATTTATTATATAACTATTAAGGTATTCATATACGAAGAAAATATTGTAGCAAAATTGCAATTTGTGATACAATAGTAATTTGTGATGCAAAAAATTAACTGATTACAGAATAAACTAAATTATTATATGCACCTTGTACGTTTTTATCCACAACAAGTTTCAAATACTGATATACTTTTTTTTATAATGAGCATTGTTATTTTTATATTAATAATTACATACTGCAGTATCATTACATCCTTTCCTTTCAGCGAAAAATAAAAAGAACAATTTTTTATTTATATTATATACCTTCTTCGTGTGCGCATAAATAATTTTTCTCTTTAAAAACTATGTTCTAGCTAGTATTACACTGAAGGAGTTTATGTTTATAGTTAAGAAGTTGTAAACGTAAATAAAGAAAAAGTCTGTCTTAAATTGGTCGACAAACTCGCGCCGTCAACGGGAACAACGGTAATCGCACGGGGGACACCCTCTACGGAAAACAGGCGACCACCCCGAGTTAGCCGCAAGTTAGCGAGGCGCACTTAGTATACGGCTTTTTGCATCCCAGCGGTAAAACTCGCGAGCGCCACGATAATTTCATGCAAACGGCCAGCAACGACTCGCGCAACGAGCTGGCCTGCAACGAGACGCCAGTGCACCCACGAGTTATCGTTACCGTGCATCGTGGCAACGATCGCGGCTGGTTGATGGTTTATGAAGGTTAACATTGCGCGAGCGGACGATTCGCCCGACTCTATATAAAAGTATCTTCCGCCGCTCGAATCCCTTTTTAGCGGAACTTTACTGCATTGCTGTCGCGCGTCACGGCATTCTCATTAATGAGTACCTCTCGTAATTGCACTTGTTATTTTATTTGTCGCTGGCTAAAACACGGACAGAGAAACGACGACTCTTTACCCGAAAATCCATGTCTCTATTAAGCTAAAATTTTTCTCTGGAAGAGAAAAAGGATCCCGCAGACTTTAATAATGTGGGAACTGGACAATATCTTTCACAATCTTTTACATTTTCGATGTTCCCACATCGATAATTCTTTCGGGGATCTTTTTTCCTTTTTTAATTAAATGTATGGAGAAGAATTTTTTAAATCGATGTGAAACAAGCTATTAATTTTGAAATATAAGTTTCCTGAAATATTTGAGATTTCTGCAAATAATATAGATATTGTAATGCGAATAAGACACTTTTTAAAGATTTGTATCTGTGTTTAATTAACGAGAGATGCTTATTGTGCTCCAACCAGCGTAGCATTGTAAATAAGATATGTAAAAACGGGAGTGGAAAAGATCATGTTTTTTTAGCAAAATAAAATTTGCAGTGTGCTCTCGCACGATCATACTTTTCTGTTTACCCTCATTATTCAACTTTTGCGAGCACTACTGCAGTTCACGTGTAGTTTGCGGCGAAGTTTCAGTGTAAAATACCGGAGTGCTTTGTGCTTTTCTCCTTGTAATTCGTCAATTTCAGAAGCGAGTTCTTTACTTCTCGATTGCCCTTAAAATCCACCGAGAATTTTGTTCGTCATAGTTGTACGCTATTTTCAATTATCCTTAAGTTGGCTCATGTTCGCTGTTTCCAGGAAAATTGTACTCCCACAACTTTACCGTTTGCATGTATCCTATAATTGAAATCCACAAGTAGCCGGATCTTTTGTATTTGTTAAAATGTTCTTATTGCAATAAAAAAAGAACAATTCTGCAAATTGAAATTTAAGTTAACAAATGTATAAGTTTGTTTTAATCAAACGACAAAATGTTAATTGAAAAGTAACATTATATTTCTACACTGCCAACTGAATGTTGATTACACACTTAAAACGGTTGTTTAAAATAATTAAAGCAGTTATTCAAAAAATGTTTACCTCCTTTCTGCAGTGTTTCTGCTAGATTCATATATTGGTGTTATTATATTTTATAATTATAATCATCAAAATTACTTATTGCAAATGCTCCCATTGGGCTGTATTGGTTTATCTAATTTTCCATACTAATATGTTCGCAATTAGATAATGACATACAACGATTACTACGGAATTGTTACATTTGTTCGTTATTGTACAGACATGTGTAAATATTTTGTAATTCGAATGGGATGACAAAATTTTCGTCGGCGAAGATGAAAGTTAGCTTTCATCACCTACCTTCATCGTTGTGTCTCATATCTATTCGTGAGCATCTCAGTGTAATCAGGGCCGCAGAGTCGGATAGCGTAATCACTTCAAGACGATGCATTCCGAGATGACTGCAGCTTGCATTCAACCTGCTCTTTCTGCGAAATTACAGGAGAAAATGCCGGGTGAGATGAAAAACGTGCGGTTAAAGAGATCCGCGAGTACTGCGCACAAGTGATTCTCGACAGAATATCTTGCGGAGGAGTAAAGCCGCGTTTGTTGAATCCTCATGTAATTCTGGTTGTGATAGATAATAATTCTGGCAGTAATTTTATTAAAGCGCAAACCAAATCCATTAAATTCCCGGATCAGAATTTACGATATCGCGACGTCAAGCTGGACCGTTGAATTTGCTGAACACATTTTTTTATAATTAGGGAGAGTATTTTTGAAAAAAATATTTTTTTAAGAATCATATTTTAATTAAATAAAATGTGTTTTTGTGTGTTATTTGTAACACACGCGATATAGAATGATATGTAGATATTGATATAGAACGACCATATCTTTGTTAGCCTTTGGCTAGCGAAAAATTTTATTATTAATTATTTCATATTAAAAGGCTTTACAGCCAAGTAACGACGAGTGATAAAACTATTTTTCACGTTTGAATTAACTTTAATTATACTTATTTGATTTAAAATACTGTTGTCAATGTATTGAAGTTTAATTTTAAAAAATTTGCTAGTTGGAAGACCCCTTTTATAGGATTTTAATGGAAAATAGATAGTGCAATTTCATTACAATATTTATGACTAGTAAGACGAACAATGAGGAAGTTTTAAAACTATTCTATATATCTATATTAGCACAGCGTTTAGGACGATAGATCCATCAGTAGAAAGAAAAAAACGCTCATTACGTGCGACTTTTTATACGTTAGATCGCTCCAGATTATTCGCGGTTATCCGATAATTTCCGATCCTTCTTGGTTCATTCGTGCAAGAAACGCCCGGGGAAAAAACGGAAAGTCTACTACCGAATTGGTTTCCTCGCAATTGTCTTCGGCGAGCTACCTCGGGATCATCTCGGTGAATGTAAAACCACCATCCTGGATTTTCTTTTCGTTGGTGAACGAACGGAATTTGGGGCGAGAACCACCGCTTCCGCGTCCTGTTCACTTCCGGCGTTTTCCTTCCCGCCTGATCTCTCGCTGAATTGCGCGACGATTGCTTTCTTCGCTGGGCTTTCGGGCTTTGTATTGTTCCCGAGCTTACTCGTGTTTGAATACGTTATGCTTACAAAAGACTCGAATTTTATAACATTGTTTAGCGCGCGTGACCACGTTCTGTATGAATTAAATCGTTCGCTATTGCGTTTCGTTTAAATGAGTGTCTCGTCTTTAACTCGTTATCTTCAATTGCACAGTTATTCGCAGTAATTCATCGTTGACTCTTGATTCGTTTCTCTTAGTACGAGCTTTCTTATGTATAATTTTAAAGAACTGCAATCTTCCTGAATTACACACGGTACAAGTATTGCACGGCAAGAAGTTGAAAGATTCAAGGACTATCCTCTCGAGATAAATTGGACTTTCCTCTCCTCGTTTCATGATTCCATAACGCGCATCTAAAAATTTCAGATTATCCTTCATTCGAATGAACGATACTGCAATTGCCTGTACCTTGCTTAATTAAAGAGCGATTACCGCGCTTTATATATTACATTGGGCAAGAAACGTTGGACAAAAAACGCATTACGTCGAAGCGAAATAAAACAATATTTAATTCAAGGTCTCGTTAGCGATACGTTCCGCAAAAGAGCCGAAACCCCATTTGCTCTATGGCGAACAATTTCACCGAGGGTCATTAGCACGTGATACCGTTATGCTGTATTGCTGGCTCCACTTTGATCTACTGGCGTAACATCCCAGCACGCGCGTTTGTGAACTAGCTTTTTGCGTAATAAATAATTGATATTGAAGTCCCTGCTGTGAACCTCACAATACCCTCATTATTATTATTATGTACGTACTTAAATACAGTCCGAATCACTAACTTGTTCACTCGCGAAAAAGTAATTTTTTATTTAAAAAAATTAACACTGCTTACGTACCAAATTTTTTTTCGATTTAGGGAGGAGAAGCTCGAAATTATTATAATTTTGCGACCGAGATATTGACAGGAATTAGCACTTACACATCGAAGCTGCACCCACAGAAAATGTTCCCAGATCCAATGCTATTACACTTGAATATATCATAAAATGGGATTGATCTAGCGCCAATCATGTTTATTATACAGAAAGGAATATTTTAATCTTAAACAAAAAATTCTAAAATCTAGAATAAAATAATAGTATGTATCGTCTTTTGCTGAATATCGTGGTGCCAACTTCGTTCGTTGTAAGACGGAGGGGAATTTTATTCTAAACGTAAGAATATATAAACTTACATCTATAGTATACAAAGTTACTCTGGTCTGAATATAGTAAGTCGATCTTTTTTAATTCGATAGAGGAGAATAAAAATTATTGATTTTATTTTGATATCGTCTTATTTTTATACTCAATGAGGTTGTGAGAAATATAAATGCGTCAAGAATATTTTTGTCTCGGTAACAGAAATCCTTTCTGAGGGTGTGTATACTCTATACAAAAAAAAAACAGTGTACCCACATGTTTTCATATACATATTAATATATTTATAAAAATATATATATTTAAAATTACTTTTCTTATTCGAGAAAATATTTTGGGCGTATTTCATGTAAGATAACGAGTTCACGTGCTACGAATGACAGAATTTTCGCGGAGCAGCGCGCACGATTCGGCATCCATTATCGAGATGGGCGAACGAATCGAGTTTACGAGTGTTTACCGGCAGGATTTCCTAGCGGGGTCGCGCCATTAACGGCGGACTAACGATTTTCCGTAACGCTATTATTCATCGCCGTTCGTATCATAAACTTCGTCCACGCTTGACCGAGCTAATAGCGGACCTAGCTGAAGTAACGGCCGTTTCCTAAATCGAGTATTAAATCGCGCGATAATAATTTGTCGATCGCGGTCGCGTTAACGCGTCCGCGGGCTTTCGGACACTTAATAGACTTTTTGGAATCGATAAATGCCCGGGGACAAGTGAATTTTGGTAATTATATCGTTAAATGCATACCACTAATAATGTTGTTTCAAGTACGCTCATTAACGATTCGAAAGCATACGTTTATCAGCTCGCTGCGATCGATGTGCAACTGATTGTAAAAATCAAACATCTCGGATCTATTGATCTAAATACGTAATTGGCTACACTGCGAATAAATTCCATTACTTTTTATGTTAATGCACTTTCATAATTTATTTACGTTCGCTAAAAATTTTATTTGTCTAAAAGCTAACCTTTAATCAAGCACAGCTCAAGGATTATTACACCTTGAGGTTGAAACCGTTAATATATTTTTTCGTTTGACTTTTAATACGCTCTGTGAAAACCCGAGAGTATGTGTTCCATAACTCAAATATATAAAACGCAGGCACAATGTAGATTCGGAAAGCGCAGACTCTCATTACAGCAGGAGCGTTTTGTTCGGTCTCAAATTTAAATGGAGTTACAGCTCTGTTGTGTTAGGATTGTGCGCGGCTAAAAGGGTACCGGGCGTACCCATTTGCCGAGATCCTAATCAGATCCGTCTGATGACATACGTGTTATGACTACGTGAGCGGGACGGAACAGATGCGCGGAATATGTTCCCGATTGCCGCAGAAATTTCATACGTGCCTCGGCGGACGCTTATTACTTCGATATAGCGGCCTTTATATTACCGGGATTTTTTCCCGCTTAGCTAAATCCCAGCGATATCAATATGATATGAGACTTGATGAAAGCATGAATTCTACTTTCTCATATTCTGGTGAAACGACGATCGATCTTTGGACAACGATATTCGAGATAACGTCTGCTTTTCTTTTAGGGAACACAGTCGACATTTTTTGACACAAATCGACACGTGTCGCTTTCCATTTACAATTCAAACTCAATCAGCGCTCCTCGACTCTGCTCGGGAAGAGAGTCGGAGTGTGTTTTTGACCGAGGAACGTATCCACTCCCAGTATGTCGATGTAATCTTTTCTTAAAATCTTTCTCTTTGAGCCTTTGCCATATAACTGTGGCAAACCGTGCTCGAATGTGTCAACGTGTGTCGATTTGTGTTTCCCAAAAGAAAAGCAGCCAATATTATCTCGTGCTTGAGCGTTTCGCGTCACGACACTTTTCGTGCGCGCCGATTTAATATCTTTGCATTGTTGCTACCGCAATTAACTGTGCGATTTATTCCGCGTCAGTCTCAATCTGTTCCGTATCGAAGAAAAAAATATATATTAATTACGCGACGCGTGAAACGCCAACGTGCGGGGAATTTACAACGTGTCGAGTCAATTTTGATGCCCGTTTTGATAATCTCGCTACAAACGGCCGCGATGGAGTCGTTTCGATTTTACGAGCGCGTAAAACGCTAAGTCCCGCGTTTGCATCCCGCGCGATTTTCATCCCGTTAACACGGTTAAACGCAGTAACGGGAAATTAATTACTCGGCCGTTAATTCAATACACAGTTAGCGGCAAATCCATCAACTGTAACTGCAATTACCACGTAAATTAACCGTGCGAGACCGAGGAAGACCTTACGGATTGCAGCCGGATTCGCGTATGATACACGAGAAGCGACCGCCGTAATCCACGAGAATGAGTTCTTCGGGGGGGGGGGGGATTCAGTAATGCTCGATACCGCTGTAATTTACAACCGACAGGAGAAGATGTGGGCGCAACGCACGCGCTTACGGCGTGAATTAGAGTACATTGTAAATCGTATTAGCGACAAGAGAGCGCGAGACGCACGCGCGCGCGTCTGGTATGCAAATTTCGAAGTTTGTCTAAGCGCCACCTCGGCATTAATTCCTTACGTGGTCGCTCATTGGCGCACGAGTGGACTGTAGATATTGCGAGTACAAGCTTCGCTGTGTACTGACATTCGTGAATTTGCGAGAACAAACGTCCGGCGCAACGGCCGAAGCCACTCAATAATTAATTAAAGTGGATCCGCGGAGAAGAACATACGCGAAACGTTTATTACGTATATTGCACCTCGACTTTGCGCGTAATATTC